TGCGGTGGCTCTAACACCTTGTAATCCCAGCGGACCTGTTATGGCGAAATATCCCCTCCCCGGCCCCGACCGCCCTCCCCCGGCGGCCGTATGCATGATGTCATGGGAAGGATCGAACCATTGGTGAAACCCCGTCTCTACTTAAAAAAATACAAAAAAAAATTTACAAGCAACTCGCCCCCCCCCCCCCAGCCAATGTCCTTCTTAAAACAAGTTTGCTTTTCTAAGTGACAGAGCTCAGAAAACAAACAAACAAAAATGTTTGTCTGAATTGAGATCTTGGTTGGGTGCAGTGGCTCACACCTATAATCCCAGCACTGGGAGGCTGAGGTAGGTGGATCACTTGAGGTCAGGAGTTCAAGACCAGCCTGACCAACATGGTGAAACCACGTGTCTACTAAAAATACAAAAATTAGCCAGGCGTGGTGGTAGGTGCTTGTAATTCCAGCTACTTGGGAGGCTGAGGCAGGAGGATCATTTGAACCTGGGAGGGAGAGGTTACAGTGAGTTGAGATCGTGCCACTGCATTCCAGCCTGGGCAACAGAGTGAGACTCCATCTCCAAGGAAAAAAAAAACATTTGAGATCTCAACTGAACATTGCAACTGGAAGTCCTTTTAAAAATCTATCGTTTTTCTCGTTTACTTTTTTTTTTACTTGAAATTTATTTTCTTTCATTTCCTTTCATTTTCCTTTCTTTCTCTCTGTTTTATTTTATTTGTTTTTTAAGAAACTAGATAGAGCCAGGCTGGGGGTGCACACCTGTAACCCCACTGTTAGGGAGACTGAGGCAGGAGGATCCCTTGAGCCCAGAAGTTCAAAGCTATAGTGCGCAATAATGGTGCCTGTGAATAGCCACTGTGCTCCAGCCTGGGCAACGTAGCAAGACTCCATCTCTACAAAAACTAAATAATACATTTTTAAAAAGAAAGAAATTAAGTGGTTTATGCTGTGGCATTTTCCCTAGTCTGGATTTTGCTGATAGCATCCCTATGGAGTTGTTTCCACATCTTCCCGTGTCCCTTGTGTTTTTTGTTTGTTTGTTGTTGTTGTTGTTGTTTTTGAGACGAAGTCTCACTCAGTTGTCCAGGCTAGAGTGCAATGGTGCAATCTCAGCTCACTGCAACCTCTGCCTCCTGAGTTCAAGGGATTCTCCAGCCTCAGCCTCCCAAGTAGCTGGGATTACAGGCACCCACCATCATGTCCGGCTAATTTTTGTATTTTTAGTAGAGACGAGGTTTCACCATGTTGGCCAGGCTGGTCTCGAACTCCTGACCTCAGCTGATCTGCCTGCTTTGGCCTCCCGAAGTGCTGGGATTATAGGCGTGAGCCACCACACCTGGCCCCTGTGCCCCTTGTCTTCTCTGCTAATTGGTAGTTAGATCTAAAAGGTTTGATTAGACTGGGTTTGACTTTTTTTTTTTTTTTAAAGATAAGGTCTCACTTTGTCTCCCAGGCTAGAGTGCAGTGACACGATCTCAGCTCACTGCAGCCTCTACCTCTTGGGTTCAAGCTATCTTCCTGCCTTAGCCCCTAGTAGCTGGGACTACAGGCGCACGCCACCACACCCAGCTAATTTTTTGTATTTTTTGTAGAGATGGGGTTTTGCCCATGGTGGTCTTGAACTCCTGAGCTCAGGCATTCCACTTGCCTCAGCCTCCCAAAGTGCTAGGATTACAGGTGTCAGCCACTGCACTTGGCCTGATTTTTAAAATGGATTTATTTTTTGCGATGGAGTCTCACTCTGTCCCCCAGGTTGGAGGCAGTGGCGTGATCACAGCTCACTGCAACCTCCAACCTCACCAGCTGTATGACAGTTCTAGTTCCTCCACATTTCTACCAGTACTTGGTAAGGTCAGTCTTTATAATTTTACCTGTTTTTTTAGGTACTCAGT